ATGTACAGACAAAAGAAATAATGTCATCCTGCCTCCAACACTCCCAGCCATCAGAGGCAACATTAACCATAACTTTGCCTCTGTTCTACAAGAGTGTTTCAGTGCATTACAAATAAGCACCTTATTCAAAGCTCTCTCCCCAATTTATTTCACTCCAAAAAAGGAGACAGATGGTAGAAGACAGAGGGTTTTACAGTAAGAGGGGTTGGATTTTTTTTTTTTTTGCCTCTTCATTTGTTCCCTGTGCTGTTTCTTATCCTTGGGGACCTGGAGTTTCTTTTGATAGCACTGTGCTGCCTAATAAACACGCATACAAGCACAGTCACGAGTATACATCTATCACCAAAGAGCCCTTCTTGTCTCCACTCCCCACAAAGTTGATTAATGATTACGTGTTTAACACATACATTATACATGGGAGGGGGAGAAGAAGAGGGTAAATCCAAGCCCCTGTATACATTTACATATATTTACATACTCACATATAAAAAGCAGAGGAAAGCAAAAGAGGGTTATTCCCATTGGGACAAAAATCCATTTTGGTAAGCATACCTCCTAGCTCCCATTTTTAAAAACACAAAGGCAAAGGAAAGGCTCTACCTGGTCTAAGGAAGAAACCAAAGCTTGAGCAAGAAGCCTTGCTTGGTTCCTGCCGTTCAATCCCGACACTGATAACTGTGTTATCAGCAGTTGCATTACTTATGGTTTGCAAATGGATTGAACAGCTGCAACCCAGTTTGAGAGAAAGAGGTTTAAGTTCTAAGGGTGCTCCTGGTTTGTATTGTAAATTCATACAGCTAAAATCCCAGTTCATCTAGCAATAGATTAGGTAAGTAATTCAATTAAATGGCACCATTATGTACAAAGGAAAAGAAGTCTGTCCTGTCAGATCAGTCAATACCTAGAGGTACTGGGAGCGTTCAATGGACTCAACATGGGATGACTACAGATCAACCACAAAGCCAGGCCTGACCCTTAGCACAGACAGAAGAAAGGTACAACATGGCAAACTTCCTTCTCCATCCTTCCAGGCAGAGCCAATCCTTGGACCTGGACAGCTGCCCATGTAAAATAAAGCTGCCTGAAGGCTGCTTTAATCATGCTGACTGCAAGTGGTCTCAAGCAATTGTTCCAGCAGCTGGGGGAGCAGTGCCATGGTAAAGGACTCCCCTGACAAAGTCCCTTCTGGCAGCTGGGACAAAGCTGGCACTGAAATGGCTATTGTGGCTCTCTGCTCTCCAAAGTGTCCCTGTGCAGAGTTAATCTTCCAGCCACCCACTCTGCTGGTTTTCAGACATCTTTGCAAGGTTCAGCTTTAATAGGGGGCTCTTGTGGCACACCAGTGCATTAACCTCTGCTGAACTGATCCATCCCAGCTTCCTGCTCACCCCAGCTCCACCAGTTGCAGCCACAGCACAAGTGCTGGTGAAGATGAGGTGAGAGCAGTGGCCACTGACAATGTTTTTAAAACATATTTGCCTAGTATCAATCCTAAAGAGTGGAAGGGATAAACTGAGGAATGAAATGTTAGGAAAGAAAGCTGTCCATACACAGGGCTGCTACAGTCCTAAGGCTATGGCAGCTGGCCAGACAGAAAGCTCAACTACTTAGAAGGCCTAAATAAGGAACTCTATTTTTATTCACTTCTTTTTCACCCTGTAACCTTTTGACTCTGAATCATGACCACTGACTCTATGACTTTACACTTTCTATTACACTAAGGCTCAGGGTTGGCACGAAAGAAGTCACATTCTCCCCACCTGCTCATCCCTTACTTCAAATATAAACATTTTATTTAGCTGTACAAGAGTGGGTGAGATTTGAGTTTTTCAAACAGAAAAATGCACAACTGTTCAGAAAGTCCCAGCTAAGGCACTCCATTGAAATTTAGATAATTGCCAGCATTCATTGACTCATCTGTATCCCTTCCTTTGCTTCCTGATCTCTCCAAATCTTTGAAGACCAGATTCTGTCAATACACTTCACCAGGCCACAAACTGAAGTGGATATAGACAATTGCCACAAACACATCCTAACATAAATCTGCAGCAGCCACTGTAAAGTATTCAGTTCTTCTCTGCAGAAATGAAGGAGCCCAGGGTGGAACTGGAGTCATAATTCATGGCAGCAAATCCTTCTGGTGTGCAAGGCCACCACGTATCAACACCAGCTGTAGGGCCAGGGCCTGCATCAGCTTGGCACATGTGTTTTCATGGGCCCGTTTTATCACTGTCTCATATAAACCCAAGCATCTTTCTTTTGCATTGCTACTGCAGCATTTTGTGGTGGATATTTCACATCTACCTGGGCTACAGCCAGGAGATCCAGTCTTTGTAACAGGGAAGTAATTAATAAAGAAATACAGCTCTATCAAAGCACTCTTTGTTCATCTCCACTAGTACAAGCATATACTTGATCTCAGCCAGTGCTTATCTGTTTCCCAAAACCATTTTCACACAAGGGAAAGAAAAGCATGGTAAAATAGAAAAAATACAAAGCTATCCTTCCCCAGTCTAGAGGGGGTAAGCCATATCTGGCTTGTCTGAGTTCATTTCTAGGTGGCCTCTGAGCCAGAGTCAGACATCTGAGATGACAGGTAAGAATTTAGACATTTTGATTCTGAGACAGGAAAAATGATCACATTAAAGGTGTCATGGCTCAAGTGTTTCTTCTACCCCTCCTTGGCAGACAGAGGTCAGAGTGCTGTGTTCCAAAGGCAGCAGTGGCTCATGCCATGAGCATGGGTTATAGTCACAAACACGAGTTAAGGGACCTATGGCTGAACATCCTGCCTGCTTCATTAGCTTGCCTATGTATGAGGTTTGAAAAGCACTATAATCACATTCATTTTTATCTTCCCTGCTTCTAGATTTCAAGCTCTTTTACTTCAAACTGACACTTACTCTGGAGACTGTTCAACAATGTATGGCTGAAGCCTCAAGACTCTCTGCTGTCTCCCAAGGCAAACCTCTTGCACAACTCTGGCAGTAGAAAAATGACTCAACTTGCAGACTCTGGGGACTTTGGGGCTGAAGAAATGACAAACCATGCATGAAAACACTGTGATCGCTCTTTGCACCTTTTAAAGCGGGGAGATACCACAGAACAAAAACCAAACAGCTGATGAGAGACTCACTGGAGAGTATGCAGGACAAAGAAAGTACCACAGCTACTAAACAAGTACCAGCACTCCTGCACCTGGCCAGAAGACAAGGTTACACCTCCAGCCCAAATGAAATGACATTTTTAAATCAAAGAGATTTTGATCTTAAGGCACAGATGTGATGAAAATAAGAGTCATGACTTGAAGATCTCCAAATATTGTTTGAAACAAAGATTTTGCTCTCTAGAGTAACTTTAGGGAGCTGGTATCCTTGTTGTACCATCTTGCCAAAACATAAAAGCCATATAAAACTGCAGGTGGGATAAGGGCCATCTTCACCCTACTGTTGGGTAGGTAGCCAGGAGTGATGCCCCACAATAACCACACCTAAGAAATGTTTCAAGAGGCAATGGTGAAAAGAAGGGCATGAGAGAGCAAAAGAGGTACGTCAAGCTGATGCAGAGAAAATGGGGTTATCATATTCAGGGTTTGGGTTTATTTCACATTGTACACAGAGAGAGGCTTTTGAGTTCACATTAAACACAAAGAAGTGATCCTTCAGAGGTTTGGGATCTTGCCTTGGAGGGAGTGATGCAGGTGAGCACATGGTGACCAGGAGCAGCTCATTCAACCCTTCCCTGGTGCCTGAGCCAGAGCTTTGGAGGGAATGCCAGCAACTGCACAGGAATAACATGTTGTGCTGCCAGTGTGGCTGCACCTCTGCTCCCTTCAGCCATGCAAACCAGAGCCCCAGAGACTGCTGCAGAGACCCTCCTCACCACACAAAGTGAATGCATGAGAACATGGGCAGGGAAAAAAACGAAGTGTCTCACGAGACAGGAGGGGCAGGAGTTCCCCTGCTGTTAGTGCCTTGGGTGGGCAGTGAATCCAGTGCTCTGCACCAGAATGAAATGAAGCCAAACTAGTAAGAAACAAGGAGCATACAATGGAGCACTGCTGCTGAGATATCCAAGAGACCAAGCAAGGTTTAAAGCTCACAGATTAGAGCACAGTACAACACGACAGAGTCGGCAAGGTACTCCACTGCGGAAGTGACTCAAACCTTGACATTTTGACTTTGAAATTCCTGTTCAAATATGAGTTTCTCTACAGCTACAGAAGCAATGAAAAAATTTCATAGCCACAGCTCAGAAGATCCAGATCTGCAGCACAGAATCCTTTCTTTCCCCACCACATAGGTACAGAACCTAGTGTGGTGAAATCCTGGTCCGCCACTTAGGCTTTCATGTGTAACTAGAACGCAGGGAGTAATAAAAACACCTACCCCTGAAATTGCAATCTTGAAAAAAACCATTGCCCTTGGTACTGCAGATACCCCTGTAATAATCTCCACCATAAATTGAAAATGTTACCCTTGCACCAGGAAGTGCTGGAAATATTTAGTGCTACTGTTATCAACCTGGGCTTAGTTTCATTAGCAGTCCAGACATGTGGCAATGAAGAACCCATTCAATTCTCTATCTCTGCTAGTGGTACACTTCATGGGCTCATGGAAAGCACACATAAACCCGTTATCTCTGACAGGAATGGACACATGTGTGCATGTCCCAGATTTGCAAATTGCACTGCAGCGAATGCAGCCTTCATGTCACTCAACTGCATAGCTTAGAATTTTACATTTTAATTTTTTTGATGTCTGGGGAGATTAAAATGAGAACTGGCAGCATGTGCAAGGGATACTGCACTTTGAATGCCTTATCTGTAGTGATTCAGGCTTCCTGGAGCTCCAGATGAAGCAGGTTTTTCACCATGGAAGAAACCACATTACATTGCTCCCTAGGAAGTGAAACAAAACAATAAAGGACGGTTAATCTCTTCTCTAATTCTGCTCTGTGGGACAACTCCTTCAGCAAGCAGCGCCTGGCTGTATCTACCTGGGAGGGGGTCATTTTACTTCGGCTTCCTCTTCTGCTTCCCTCTGTCCCTGGGAGCGCTCTGTCTCCCTGCTGCATCTTTCAATGGCTTTATCAGAGCTTGCACCAACTCAAGCGTGAGAAGTAGCTCTGGGCCCAGCAGGGAGAGGTGGGGGAGTGTGTCTGTGTGTGCCGCGGGGCGGTGGGGGGAGCGAGGGGAAGACGAGGGAGGAAATGTTATTCTGTCCTTTGTCTTTTCAACAATTTCTTTTTAATGCAACTTGCAGAGCAGCATATAATTAGGGGTCTTGCAGAGCAGGCTTAAACTCAGGAGTAACCCTTCTAACGACCTCAGCAACGGATAATCAGGTGCGCGGCTGTGGGGCGCAGCACGGCTCCCCACCCGCCGCGCCGCTCGGCCTCATAATTAGAAGCCTCCACACTCCGCTGCATAAAGGCAGATTGCAAGGACAGCGTGAAGCCCTTGTTTGAAGCTGGGGGCACAAAGATTGCAGTGCCTCTGATGGATGGAGACAAAGACTCCGATACTGGAACGCTTCCAGCAGCCTCCGAATACTCGCTGCGTTTCTGATGGACATTTTCAGGATTTCTTAGAGCGGCAAGGTTTATTCTCCCACTCTCCCTGCCACCCTCCCCCCGCCTCAGAATTCCTCCACAGCTCCCTAAGCCAGGGATGTGGATGTGCCACTGTATGTGCACATGTCTCCAGAGATGCTTCCATGGTTGTACTATGAGAAAAAGGCATTGCCCCTTTCCTCCATCTATTTTTATTACTTCTCGTTCCTGAGTGGGAGAAACATGGTGACACTTTAAAAATGCTCAGAACATGGGGCTCCATCCAACCCCTCCAGAAATTCCCAAGCTAGAATGGTGTTTTAGTTAAGTTCACACTTATTTGAAACTGTGGTAGCAAAGTGCTATGTTTAAGTTGTAGCTGATGTTAGTGTAATTCCCCTCAACACTTCAGCGTGAATAAAACAAGATCCCCTTCTTAAAATCACATCTCTCTTTGCTGATCACTACTTGCTTTTCTCTATTTACATAACTTCAGGCACAGGACTAAATGAAAACTGACACTGCAGTGTATCCTAGCTACAGGAAGGAAAGAGGAGGAGGAAGAAAAGGATTGAGGACAGGACCTCTGGGTGAGAAGAATGTGAGTGAGGGGAGTGACAGTCTGTGTCATGTAGCCTGTTATAAAACAGTCACTGACTTCTATTTTACCCCAATTTCACCACCTTTTTGCATCTTCTGAGCTGCTGCCATGGCTTGTTTGTGGGTTCCTCTGCACCTGACCCTCCCCAGCAACCCTGGGAGCTTCTCATCCCACTGCAGCCACAGCAAAGGGAACGGGAGAAAACCAAACAGCTCTGGCAACTTGAACACAGCACAGCAACAGACTGACAAAAAGCAGCAAAGCCAAAAGTGCCTGAATAAAAAAACTGAGGAAAAAAACCCCATTACAGCAAATCAGAAACTGTGAATTGCCAGAGAAGCTCCCTTGGAAAGAGCAGAAAAGGCAGGTTCAGGGAAGAGCAATATCCATAAAGTGACACAGTGCCAATGGGTTTTTTTCCCCCTATTTATAATGACAAGTTAACAGGGGCTGGAATAGAACAAAACATGGAAGATTTTCATAGGAAGAATCAGGACACTGTGCCAAGGATGGCTGCCCTGAACTCAAGTTATCCGTGAACTCACATTTGTAGGCACTTAAAACCTAGCAAAATCATTAACAAGCTAATAAGAACCACCAGCAAAAGGAACATAACCTGGATTCACTAATGTGTTTCATTCTGAATGATGAAAGGGCAGAAGCATCCAGACACTGGGTTGCTGCAGCTAAAAAAAAAAACCAAACTAGCAAAAGATGCTGTGATATGCATTGTCTACTACCCTACCTTTTCCATACCAGTACATACCAGTTTTGATGCTGCTACATCAAAATGGTCTCCAGTCTGTCTGTCTTGTGCTCTCCCCACTGTTCAGAAAGCACAGTAATTTCATAAGTTCTACAACATCCTCCAGAAAAATGGACTGGAACAAACATTGTACAGCTCAGCTCAGGAATTTCCTTTGTCCCTCTGCACAGACCCATTGAACCACTCAGCTCCATGACCAGCCCACTGTTGTTTGGAAATCAGTAGCTTCGAGGGAGCAAGGCAACCTCAGGGTGTGGGGTCTGCAAGGACATCTCTCGACTCATGACTGCTTCTCATTCACCAGGGTTTGAGGAGATACAATATGGGTAGTCCTGATTTGGCAGTCCATGCCAGCCTTGAACTCTGTAGTGGTTTTGCTTTGGTTGGAAGCATACAGGGACAAACCTGTTTATACCTTCCCTGTGAAATGATCTTACAAGCTTCAGATGCTTTTATGCTGGTTGTATCACATATTTCAGTGAAGAGGAGCATGGTTTCATCACATGGCAGATCCGCTCTACTTTTTCCACAGCAAGACGCGTAGTCACCTGAACAAATCTTTTCTCCAGATCTTTCTGGGGAACTGATGATGAATACACATTTGGGGAACTACAAAGAGGTAAGCTGTAAAGAGCTTTTGAATGTTTACAAGCTGATCCAGATCTGTGACACTCAGAAACTACGTAAATCCACCTTCACTTCTTTCAGCTTCCCATCCAACACCCTTGCTACAAACAGTTTGCATAAACTACTTCATAAATCTTAAAATTACTTAAGAAAGCACCTCTGCCAGCACCTTTGTCCCAGCCCAGTTCACACTCCCTGCAGCTCGGTTCCCACAAGGACATGCACTAAATCCCATCAAAGCAGTGGGAGAGCCTGGCCTGGCCATGGAGCGCACAGTCCATCTTGGCACGGTCAGAAGAAAGGCTCCTGCCCCTGGAGGGAGAGCAATCCTCTCCTAAGCCCTGGCTTGTGGTCTCCCAGCCTCTCTGAACAGCAGGCCTTGACTCATGTGCCTGTGCTGCCAGCAGTGAAGCCATGCAGACAGAGCTGGCACAGCTCCTGATGACCTTGGAGATGCGGCTCCTCGGCTCAGGCGGAAATGTACGAGATCAGACAAGGAGGAGAACAGAAAGGGAACAAGAGATTCCAGAGGGCTCCTCTGCCTCTGAGACTTGTTACTGTTGACTCCTTTAGTGTGATTAACTCCTTGACATCCTCCTTCTGTGACAAGTGGGGGAGGACAGACTGAACTTGGTGATTAATTTATCAGTGAACTGCCTCCTTCCCTTTCAAACCTCGCCCCCACTGATTATCTTTATGATTTAGTACAACCTCACGAGAGGGTTTACAGCCTGATAAAGGTTTGGCAGTTGTCACTTCAGCACTGAAAAACTCCATTTGGGACATTGTGTGTTCCTCCAACAGACCTGGTGGTAATAGAGTTTGCAAGCTTCAGCCCACCCCACAAGCTCTGTGTGAGGAAAAGAAATCCTCTCCTCCTCAACCTCTTGCTCAAATGACAGTAATTAGGGAATCTCATCACCAGACCTGGAGAGGGAGGGGACGTTCACAGTAATTGGAGACATTATATGAAGCCACACTGTGCTTATTAAAAAAAAGAGTAAAACCTCACACAGAAGAAAGCAGCCCCCTTCCCCCAAGCTGGCTGGCATTTCCTGAATAAACTGCCTTTTTACAGGCACATCGTGTGCTTTTTAATACTGGAGACTACTGGAAGGACTCCTGCAGCCCGATTAAGTGTAATGCAGTGTAAAAAAATAGGAAGGAGGGGGAAAACCCTTGGAAAGGCAATCGAAGTGAAAAATCTATCAACAGCACGGGGGCTGCAGTAGAGCCAGGAGTCCTGTTCTGAACATGCTCCGACTTCCCAGTCGTTTGCTCTGCCGGACACTCCGGGGACCCCAGCACAGCAAACTACAATTTCTAGTAAATATATCCCAGGGACACAATTAGTTTTTCAGCTGGGGGCATGATAAATTGGTCATGCATAATTCAAGGCCAGCACAGGCTGAGTATAAACTGCTCGGTGGCAGCTTCCAGCTCCCTGACAGGAGAATGCAAATGCGCTGCTGGCGCGGGGGCTGCCGGACCCGCTGCTGGCTGCACCTCCTGCCTGCTCCCCTGCCCAAAGACCGCTCCAGCCCTTCCTCCTGCACATCTCTGGGTGATTTTAACTTCACAGCGGTGTATCCATCACTGTCCCATGGCCTTGTGGGACCCAATGCACATTGTTATCACAACAAATACCGCTCTCCGCTCGATCTACTCTGTTTTTTCCATATGCAGACACAAGAGAATGGTTTTGGCACAAAAAGAGGCTGAGGGACTGTGTGGTCTATTGTCAGCATTAGATGGCCTGGGGCAAGTAATTTCCAATCTGTTTCAGCGTTCCCATCTACACAATGGAGATAATTCCAACCACGCAACTGCAGAGTTAGCAAGACACGCTTGGTTTGGAGTCTGATAAAGGTCTGAGAGGTGGCTGAGGATGTGCAGCCTGCCCAAACAACAGTGTCAAGCTCTCTGAGTTATTTTAGGTATCTAAATAAATACATCTGCCTGCTCAAAGCAGGAGAACAAGAGAACTTGCTGCTTCACGGAAGCCGGCCTGGTGATACATGAAGTGACAATTCCAAGGAAACTTGGAGAGGCCTTCAAAACGATGCTCTCAAGTTTCTCAGTGCATTCCAGTACACACTGGAAAATTCTGCTAGAAAAACCATTACACATATATTCAGATATAGCTGTTTAACTGAAGGCTGACACACACGTTTCACCAGCTGCAGTTATGCTTTCTACCAAAATCACAAAACCACTTCTCTGGATCCATTGCCATTTTCTGGCATTTTAAGTCCAGTTTGTGGGAAATATTCTCAAAAAACAGGGCTGAAATGGAACGAATAAAGAAATATTTTGTTAAAATTCTGGCTGTCTATCTACAGATACAAAAGCCCCTTAATTTCATGGTCAGTTCCACATACCCAAATAGGTGAGGTAGATCCGCCCAACAGTGAAAATAATCCAGATCTGTCTGTTTATTTTAACAGAAATATTCTTTGGGTTTTTTTTCTGAGCATGACTCTCTTGCATAGAGCTTGGTTTTCCTTGAATGAAACAAAATAAAATCCAAGCAGGGATACAGAGGGTACAAATCTAGGGAGCACAGATGTTAACCATGGTTAAGACTGAACATCCACTTCAGTCACACAATTTACCAGTAGTCAAAGTCAACCCTATTATTGAGTCCTGGAAAAAAACCAAACAGTAATAGCAAGGATACTTTTTTCGTTCCAATTTAGTTTTGAACGATTACTTCTTATCCAAGGAGTCAGGACCCTCTTGGCAAGACCACCACAGAGGAAATCTCAAAGCTCAGTTCACTGCAACCCTGCTTTGAAAGGGCCAATGCCCTCTGTCACCCTCAGATGATGCTCTCCCAGCTCTTGTGACCAAGCAACATGCCACTTTCTGACTTCCTTTGTGGAGAAGGTAAGTCTAATGTGGCTAAACATTTCACTCAGTTTTTCTCTTCCTAACTAAACTAGTGTGCACCTGTGTGCACATAGACACACATAATTACCTGAAAAGCTGTTACAAAAGTAAGAAGGCCAGACTAAATTTCATTTTGGACTAGATTAACTAAATTAGTGCTTCAGAAATAAAATCATATTTTAACCAAACTTGCAGAGTTTTGTATGATCCAGCAAGTCTGTCTTGTGTGGGCACTTTCATCCCAGAAAGAGATCCTTCAGTGACAAACCATTTATGAGGCTGAATTACAGGGATGAGGGTGATGGAGCTCCTGGAGGCTGAGACATCTGCAGGACTGAATCTGAAGACTGGATTTTGGTCCCAGAAGGTTTTTTAGTCACAAAGAATATGAAGCTCTGACAGTTTCTGATGCTTGCCAGAAGACTTTTGAGGAGCTGGTGAGTGCAACAGCAACAACTTCAACAACAATCTCAAGTGATGCCAAACTGAATTCTGGGCTGGAGCATAAGCCATTACAGAGCAGGAGCTGAGGGTGAACTGAAGGATCAAATCACTCAATCGTGGTAAGAATAACACTTCCTCCAAGACACCAAACCCCTTACTTTCCCAATTAAACAAAAAAATATACAAACATTTTAAAATTTCAATAGTGTTTCAAAGGTCAGCTCTGTTCACATCAGCCCACAGGGATTACATTAAAAAAAACCTCCACTATGAACAGAAACTTTTACTTAGTGAAAACAGCAGGGACAAAATAGTGCTAATGAGGATTATTCTTTTTATGCACATTGGTAGGCTTTTTATCTTCACACATGAAAGTCTGCTCCATTGAGACCAAATTTCCTGGCACACATGGCACACTAATTCTTGTCCCAGCTATAAGGGCTGTCCACCTCACAGCAACTCACAGAAGCATAGAATGGTTTGGGTTGGAAGGGACTTGAAAGCCCATTGAGTTCCAACCCCTTTGCCATGAGCAGGGACATCTTCCACTGGACCACACTGTTCAAAGCCCCACCCAGCCTGGCCTTGAACACTTAATTCCACCTGTGGAAAAAATCTGTGCTCTCAGCTGGGCAAGGTCAAAAAGGGGAGCAAGGAGGAAACTTTGAGATGCAAACACAACACTTCTCTGGGATAAGCACTGCAGAAGACTATCCATAAATACGGTGATGTGTGGAGAAGAAATACCTGTGCAGTCACCATCCTGCAGACAGAATTCTGCATTTCATTTACACTGCTCATATCTACAACACACAGTAAGCAGAGCCTCCCAGGCTTTTACAAGACTAGAAAATTAAAACTGCAGTTTGGTCCGAAATACTAAAAAACCCTTGATAGTTTCATGGAGCCAAGAGCCTCTGAGAGAGGCTGAACCAGCAATTCCTTCCTGAGTTTCCAATGGAAAAAGATTAGAAGAACATTACATATAATATACCCATATGCTTTGTTTTGCTTGCTTTTTGTTTTGCCTTTTAAGAAACTTCCCCTCCAGAATATTAAAAGTAACAAATTTTAAAATTTTTTTAACAAACACTAACCTCAGATCATTAGCCAACCTGGCAACAGACCAGAGAAAATTTATAGCCGACGTGCAACATCAGCTTTCATCCAGAAATGCTAATTTCAGTAAAATGAATAGTGTGTGGGCTTTTCATACTGCTTTGCATTTGGCTCCTCACAGCCCTGTTTAAAGCCTGGGAACCGGCCATATAGTTAAACTGCACAGATGTTCAACAATCTGTACTTGTGTTAATTACCCTAATGTGAGCAGAAACTCAACAGATCCCTGCTAATGAAGGAGAAAGTTTTCCAGTGTGACTACCGTATGTTTCATTGTCACTGTATTACCAAGCTTCTCCCCCTCCTTCCCCTGCCCCCCCAGCTCCCATTCTCTCCAGCTCCTTTGCATTCACATCACCCTCCTACCTCAGCATGCATGAATTGGACCAACTAATGACTGTGTATTCGCAACATGGCAGACACCATTAGGCTGATCGGAGGTGCGGCTGCTGAATTTTAACAGGCAATTTTAAACAAGGTAAGAAAACAGATTCATCACGCTCCCGATTCTCTCATCCCCACCCATCTGCCATTCTTCTGCCCTTGCCACAGCTCAGAAACACTCCTGAAGTGCAAACACACTTCCCCCTCCATAAAACACGGCGGCGTAGAAAGCAATGCAAATAGATGTTGCTGGGCAATTACTGGGGATGGGAGAGCAGAGCTGGGCGCATCTGGGAGGACAGGCTAACGAGGAACTCGGGATGGGGAAGGCTGGGAGCTCGGGATGGGGAAGGCTGGGAGTTTTGGAGGAGGAAGGCTGGGAGCTCGGGAGGAGGAAGGCTGGGAGCTCGGGAGGAGGAAGGCTGGGAGCTCAGGAGGAGGAAGGCTGGGAGCAGCACACTCTGCCTCGGTGGGCACAGGCAGCAGAACGGGCTGTGGCTGAGCCTGGCGGCTGCTCCTCTGTTAAGGAGTGAGAGCTGCTGGGTTTCTCTGCAGGAGCAGCAAGGAGAACGTTCAGCTGCACACAGGAGGTAAGACAGGGTTCTACAGGGCACCATGGGAAGGGTAAGGCAACGCTCAAGTGATCAGTGCTGCCAGTAGCAATGAGCCAATACTGCTGTGCAACTTAACCCAGCATTAAAACATACTCGACCTCCGAAGAACTGCCTTTCCCACTGAGGATCTCACTTTCTCTTCCAGCGTCTGTCTGCTCCGCTCCCTGCTGCCAATCATCACCTCCAGCCACTTCTCTCAAAGCGATCTGCTCAGCAAACAGCAGGCAAAGGGGGCTGGGGAAGGGCAACTGACTTGCCCCAGTAAGCCCCAGGTGACCTCTGAATGATAGCAGCCCTGGCCTGAGCCAGAGTTCACATCTCCCAGGTGCCACCACTTCACAGTCAGGCCAGTTTGCACCAGCAAACTGTATTACAATGACCCTCATGGGAACAAATGTACTCGCCGTGCTTGACCTGACTGGCAGACTCCCACCACAGAGGAAGGAGGGGAGGCAGCCAACTATGCTCATTTATTAGATCCACCCTGCTAGGTCAGCCTCTGCTGTTCACAGAGCCAACAACTGCAAACTCAGAGATGGGGCAGGAGCTGCCATCCAGAGAACTCAGCGCGTTTCACCCGCAGCGTTCCACCCCTCCGCTCAGGACTGGGCACTCGCTGCCAGCTCTC